ACTACCTGCACACTCTAATTATCCAATATCATAATAATTTATTGGACAAACACAAAATGATAATTCCAGTTATCTATAATTTGTATCACATGTTAAACAATTAGATGAAAGTGGACCAAAACATGTTTTACAGGATTAATCACATTATTGACATTATAGTGAAAATCCATCATCAAATGTATTTGAATCAGTACAAAAGCATTCAAAGAAACTACCTGATGATTAAGCTGTTCTACTAGAAGGACATTCTAAACATGTATCCTTTTCAGTACTGCTTGCACATATCAAACAAGAATGATGACACTCTATTAATCACATCTAATTAAGTACTTTAACATTTTATATTTTCAGTATTATCATCAAAATACGATTATTTGCATAAACATTCTCCCAAAGGTGTTAATTCTCTGTTAGAAGTTTCTGAGCATTATGAACAATTTGTAGCTTCGACACCAATACAATTTCCACATGTATAATGACAAACTATGTATAATTTATTAATGTACCAGCACAAACTTCTAAAATGCCCCCAAAATCACTATAATTAACTTCACAATCACATTTAAAAGTGTCTGAAACAACACGATTTTATCCAGGAATACAAGTAAGACAATATTGGTTTTCAGATCCGTCAGCAGGTTAGAAACATGTTAAGCATTTTGCATGGCATTCTAAAATGAATTAAAAGTAATACTTCCACAGGTTTATTCCTTAACTTCATATTCAGAATATCCTGTTTTACATTAACAAACAATTCCAATTTAAATTCTGTTTGAAATACTTTCTTCTACACAATCAATACAATCTTAAATTAATGGACCAAAGCAATTTTGACAAGATTTATCACAGACTAAAAATCAATAAAAAATTTACAAATGCAAATTTAATCATCATTTTCAGGTTCGTATGTACCTGGTTAACAAATGCATTGCTTGTTTATTACTATTCTATTTAATCCTGGTTTACATTAAGTACATGAATAAAAATCATCACTTTCACAATTATGACAATATCCATCTGCACAAAGTGTGCAAATTCCTTCTAACAAACCATAAAATGGTTTGCATTTGCAGATATTATCAATAACTATTAAATTTTTCTCACTTTAACAAATTACGCATTTTTTTTCTATAAACGAGTAAGAATAATTAGGATTGCATAAAGTACATGTTGTATAATAATGCATTTAGTCGCCAATTTAATAATCAAATATCATTGATTATCTTGAGGGGTCGCAATTCCAATCCATTTAAAAGCAACTATAGTCACTTCCATACCCAACTTATTTTAAGAATCCTTAAAAGCAACTCTCGCAACTGAACTTCTATATAGATGATGATGGGCTAGCAGATAGACAAGGTGAGATTTCTAAAAAAATTCTTTTAATACAATTACACAAACACGTTTATCTTAAATACATATATCCAGGTATGCAAGCTTCACTTTTATAAAATGAGCCACCGACAACTGAGGAATAACAATCAGTATGTCCATCACAAACTATCCATATAAATATAATTTGTTATAAATTACATTTAGAGCATAAATTATCGTTCGCTGATTAATTTTTATACCCAAATAAACACTTAATACACGTTTTATCATAATTACATCTCAAACAATTTCCATTACAACCTTTAATAAATATATTGTAATACGCATTTCATTGGGACTTATAAATCTTTCATCGTATTTCCATTCATTTTAATCACAACCGAAACCATATCCCATAAATGGACGTTTACAAATCTAGCATCGAAATAAACCTTACTGATAGGCGGTTATCAAACACTTATTATGTGAACCATCTGCAAAATCTAAAGTAATAGTCATTTATACTTACATTAACAATAATACTTATAATTTTGGTCTGGTAACTACTCCATTACAAGCGAAACGCCTTATTAAAATCCACAATGAACTATATATTCGTCTCGAGTTGGAGACCCTGGTCCCCATAGTTAAAATCTGGGATGACATTGATGTTGAGTTCCATTTAATTCAGTTTTTACTAATACTTCTGTAACATCTTTATAAATCAAAGCATAAGCTATTAATAAAGTTAATAATTACAGACGCATTGATATGGATGCAATCCTGGCATAAATGTATGTAATTTAGGACAATTTGGATCATTAGTTGAGAAACCTATAGAAGAAAGTGACCATTAGCTGTAAAATCTCCTTCCAAATACTTCTATAATGAAAACTAATCTAATCAAAAACATAATCAAATTTTAATAATTCAAATTTTGTGATAATCAGAGAACAAAAAATGAGGAAGTTTAGTCTTAAAATTAATAAAAAATAAATTTCTTAGTGTTAATTAAATGTGAATAATAAATATTGATTATTTTCTAATAATGAATTTCAATTTAAATCATATAACAAAGCTAAATAGTATCAATGTAATGTAGCTTAAATTATGACATGAAATTATTAAAATCAATTAATATGTATAATCTAAAATTCTTATATTTGATCATTCAGATCAGAACATTTTGTTAATTATTAATAAAATTAATTTCCTTAGTCAAGGTTTCTATTTAAATATAATTAGCAATTTGTCAAATTCTTGTTATTCACTTATTTTCCTCTTAAATAAGCTTAAGGAAAATATGAAATTAATCCTTTCATTATTTTCAAATTTTGAAGGTAATTAAATTATATAAACTACAAACCATCCTGATTATAGGCCTAAAATTATTAAAATTTCTCTTTTTTTCATTTCAATAAATACCATTTATAAATTCTATTGTTTTAGTTTCAATTTACTAAAAAACTCCTTTTAATTTAATAAATAAAAAGACAGCTAAATTAATGAGCAATACACAAAAAACATAATTTTTCAAAAACTTTGTTTTGAAATATGGTTTCACAACCTCATTATCATACAGTTTGAGTAGGTAGATAAAAATATGATAATTTAAATAAATTTTATTTACATAAATATTTCCATTAATTTGATTATTACTTTTCCCATATATCTTCACAATACTTCAAGATATTAATAGATTTCTGATTCATAAAAACTAAATGAATAAATAGTAATAGTTTTTGAATCTAAATTATAAATAAAAGTCAATTCTTTATTTAAATAATCAACACTCCATAAATTTAAGGATCTTCAGCATCAGTAAATAATTAATCTTCAGCTTAATTTAAAATCATATAATTTATCCAATACTCATGTTTCTAATAAAATTATGATCTTCTCCGCTCCCAATCATTAATTTATATCCACATATAAATTCCTCAACCATTCATACCTGTAGTGGTTAAACTATAGACTACATATAATACTTCTAGAAGGTCAAATGTTCTTAAATGGTCTTGCTTTCCATTCTCAAAATTGCTAAATAGTAATATTATTTAAATAATCAGATGATATAAAAAGACTTCTATCTTTATTAAACGGAGCTGGCCTACTCTATTTTTTGAAGAGGTTTAAAGTTTAAATTTGTACTAATTTAACAATTCCATTAAATGGTAGTAGGTTTTATTATTTATCAATATTATCTATTTATATTATATAACTTTCCTCATTCTACTTTTATTCTTGAGTAACAGTATTTATTTATCTTATTTTTAATTAATATTAACTAGATTTAGTTTCAAATTCTCAAAATTCTTGATTAACAATTCCTTTTATTCTAAATTTGATATTTAATTAATAATATTATCAACATATTATCATTAATTGAGTTAATTAATTTATGAAAATAAATTTTGTTGATTTTCAAATATTGTCTTGTCATTTCCAATTAAATTATAAATTGGATCAAATAAACTATATTTAACAGTTTAATAAAAAAATTATTTAATATTTAAATCCATTCATTTGTAAACTAAACTATCTTAACAGGCTGTTAAATTAATTTAATTTTAAAAATACAAGGATCTCTTTAAAGTTGTTCTATTTATCCTAAATTAGTATTTAATATATTTTCGAATTGCTACTTCTTAAATTTATATTTATCTTATATCACTTAAAAAATAGCATTAAAATTAATTTATTTATCATCAAACTTTGGGTTCAATAAAGATGTATAACATAATAATTTATCACTTTTATTCAATTATGGATCTGAACTGACTTTCTCTATTCTTTACTTGTGTTTCTAATTGCAATTTAGGCTCATTTCTTTCTCAATCATTTGAAATTACAAAATAACTTTTTGATAGACTATATTAGTTTCTTGATTTTTATGATGTAGTTTCTATTCTTATCTTTTTTAGAGTCAGAAATTTTCTAATAAATATAAATAATTTAGTGTAAAAAATTCTAAACTTTAATATCTGTAAAATAAATAATATTATCATAAATAACAATTATGTTATCAGATTTGTACTTCTCCATTAAACATAAATGAATTTTCATATTATAATAATATTTAAGGTGAAATTCTGCTGAGAAAGTTTAATATACTTTATATCTTATCAATTTCCCTTAAAAGTTCAAATAAAATAAACTTTCGCCTTCAGGATTAATAAATAAAAATTATTTACTTCTGTGAAAATCTACTTTTTAATAATAAAAAATAAATACAATTAAATGAAACTAAACGAAGTACAATAATAAGTATCTTAACCATAATATAAAATTGAAATAAGTAATATTGAAATTCATTTTATTAAATAATAAGAATAGTATAGAATAAAAAATTTGATACTATTTAAATTAATGTATAATATGAATTTATAGAATATATATTAAAATTATCATATAGATTCAATCGACTATTATATTATGTTTTATTCTAATAGAATTATGAATTTTTGAAATATATCAAGAAAAATTGAATATTTGAATTTATCAATAAATAGAATACATTTTTATATATTCAGAAACATAAATAGGTTATCTATTATTTATTTAGTATATAAACTAAATTTATGATTTTAAAAGTTAATTTATTCAAAGAATATGCAAGATTTATAGATTTCTGAAAATTAAAATGAATTTAAGTGTTCAGAAAAGCACAAGTAGATTATCACTACTATTCTTATTGATCATAAATTAAAAAAATAGGAAAGATTCTTATATTAATAATGTTTGGATATAAACTTAAAGTATTTGAGGGTATAGGTCTTAAAGAAAATAAATTAATAAAAAAGAGAAAATTATGAATGAAATTTCAGATTAATATATTGAAATAATTTAGTAATACAATAACAATCTAGAAAATTTAAAGACTAAATTAACATCTGCTATTGAAATAATGATTAATGCCAATAAAAATTGGATTAGAGAATTGAATTAAAAAAATAAGATTTTTGTATTTATAGCTTTATTGATGAATCAGATGATTATATTAGAAATAGATAATAATATTTCCATACATTTTAATTTGATTTTTTTGATAAAATGAATTACTCATAATTTATTAAACTAAAAATAGGAATTAAAAAATTAATTGAAGCACATAGTCTTCATTAATATAAGGAATTTATTAAAAATATGAGGGAAATTAACGAAAAAATAAAATAATTCAAAAAGTATCCCGGTAACTATCGAAAGATGGTAATATTCAAATGAAATTGTTAAGTAATTCTATAAACATAGGCGAAAATACTCTTTTTAAAAATAACTTTAATTTAATAAATTGAAATTTTGACCCTATAATAATAAATAAATATTAAAAAATACAATATCTTTAATTAATTATTATTTTTATCAAATTTTAAACAAGAGTACTCAATAAAAAGTTTTGTCAAAGGTTTAAATTACCATTTCCAAAAATTCTTGAATTTAAATATTCTATTCATTACATTTAGAAGAACTTAATCTTTGATTTTAAGTATATCGTTTCCCAATTCAATGCCTAACAAAAAAACTTAGAACTGCTTAATTGAAAGCAATGTTTTTGTATATATTTAACACCTAAAATTTTTCAAACAATTCTATCTATTCCTTTAATGATTAGCTTAAAGTAGGGCTTATCATTTCTTACCCAATATGAAACTAAGATTTCTTTTATTAAATACTAAAGCAAACTGAAGAAAGATCTATTAAATAATACTTAAGCCTCTAAATATTGTTTAATAAACAATAAGAATTGATTATTATATAAATGAACCTTCAATAAATGAGAATTAAGGAATAAATATATTTAATTAATAAATCACAATTAGGAATTTAACATAAGAATTTTTATTTATATGAATTTGATTATTTTCCTAATCAAATTTTAATTCAAT